TCTAGTGGCGGTGAAAGATTGTACTTTGTTAGAATGAGGTCAGAATTAGATCTGGAGCTTCAGTAAGTAAGAAAGGGAGTTTTGTAGCGATAGTCGATAGTAGAGAGTTTGTGAAAGAGTTACAGATGGTAAAAGTGAGGTTTAGTTTGTGATTATTCCCTGATAGCCACTTTACCTATAACTTACTGTCAATCTACGTCCACAATTTGAAGCAAACGACGGAAAGAGTTGGCAAAGCAAGAAATTACCTATTAGTTACCTATAAATTACTCTACAAATAGACGTCAAAACTTGCGGTATAAGTATTTCAGTCAAATTGTAGTAAAGTTGAAAGGAAATTTAATTACAAATTTGATTGTTAACTTGTATTTAAATTGCGGCCGTAGATTTCCGTCAATTTGCTTACAACTGTTGTTGAGTGAAGAATTACTGCCAACTTGATGTTAAGTTAACCGTAACTGCTAGAAGTCAACTACTTTCTGAGAAAGCGCTGGCTATCAGAGTTGCTAATTCAAATTCCTGATGATAATGTACTCCAATAACCACTTGGTAGCAAACTGACATCTATCTGTCAGCGTAGTTTGGTGTTAATCTACGGAGCAGATTGGTGGCAGAATGACTGCAAAAGTTAGATAGCAACTTTGGTTATTGGGGTAAATTTTTGGCGATAATGTGAGTACTTTGATAGCCATGCTAACTGAAAGTTGCCGTTGATCTACTTCCGGAGTCGTTAACTATATTAAAGTAAGGAGTTAAAGAAGCAAAAGTTTTAGCTAAGTTGACAGTAAGTTGCTCTTCAATTTGACGTCAAGAGTTAATGTGCAAGTTTATTCAGTGAAATTGTAATGAAAGGGTTGATTACAAGCTTGATGTCAACTTGTATTCAAATTCCGGACATATATATTTAATTAATTGTATACAACTTTAATTCAGAAAGACTTTTCGTAAATTTCACGATAATCTCAATAAAATATATCAATTGCATGTTTTTGCTCAAAAAGTGAGGCTATCAGGGTATGTTATGTCCTCCTCCTGGTGGACAACGATAGAAATCTTTATTTAAATTTAAAGTTACCGACGTGGTCTTTGATTCGCCCGGGAATATACCCTGATAACCACAGTTTCAGACCAACCAAGTTGGTGTCAGATAGTTGCCACCAACTTACCGACAACTTGCGGTCAACTTCCGAATTTGAAACTGTTGGCGTCAAGTTGGCTACAAGTTTCTGAGACAACGGGAATTATAGGATGAGGAAGATATTAATATGTGAATATTAATTAAATAAATAATTGGACGGAATTAGATTAACTAAATTGAAGTATGTATTCAAAAGACTTTACAAAAAATTAGAAAACGAGGTGATAAGTCTAAGCTCGAATACTATTCTGAATATTCTCAAATATGTCTAAGTTCGACTCATATCACTAGAAGTGGCGGGGGCAACTCTCCCTACTATCTAAGTATTCCGTTGTACTGGACTTTTGGCAACGTTGATTGGTCCTTCTCCTTCCTACTGGGTCCTAGCTGTGCTCCTACTCAGGTACTCGTCCTTTCCGACCGTTGTTGAACTACCTGGGCTCGCCAGCAGAGTTTGTCCGAAGTTTCGTCATCCCTAGGAATTTACCGGACTGAGTGGTTGAACTAGGCTCCTCATAAATGAGGGTCACTAATCGGCTCAGACTATCTTCTCTTATTTTTTATACAATATTTTATATTCCTTAAGGTTGTACGGACACTAATGCACTTTTGAAGATCAGAAGCTAATTTTTTGATGTTATGAATTGCTATCTCATACGTCTAAATTAATTTTTTGGAATAGATCTGTCGAAGGGTTATCCTTTAATAAATTATTAAAAAATTGAAATTTAATATGTAGCCTATAGAGACTATTGGCGGATTGCACATATATCGATTTATGTGACTGCCTCATAGGAAGATTAAAAAACAAAAAACTTCTATTTCAGTCAATCAACTTTCGTAGAATACGTTAAAAATAAAATGAAAATTTTCTGCCGACGGCTTTCAAAGATATTTTAATGCAAAAGATGAGAAATTCACGAAAATTTCAGGCCGACATATTTAAAAATAAACAAACCACGTGATTCAGCGCAGTGTGGCAACGTTGCACAGAATATAACGCGCGAATTTTGAATTTTAGTAATTCCTGTGTATTTTTATGGGTTATGTTTTTCAACTCAACACTACACATAACAGTGAGATAAATATAAACAGCTGTTAAGTGTGCGGTGTTGTCAGGTTGTCAGGTCCAAGTTTTGTGAAAAAATACTTGAGTCAAACGTTGACTATTTATTGTTTTTGTTAATTAAATTATTAAATTATTTTATTTAATAATAATGTAAGGTAACGATTAAATTATAGTAATGAATTTTCGTATTCAAATTTTTAATTTTAATGAAAAAAAAATTTAGATTCTACTATGACTTACGGGGTACTGTCCGTGCAACCTTAAGAGATTAAAATATACTTTTTAATATTTCTATAATTACTTATGTTGAGAGCAATTAGGTAGTAAATTTATATATTTATGGCTTAATCCTCTTTTCTATCTTATTATTCCTAGTCTATTGTGATAAATTTTCAGAGAGTAAAAATACATTTTAACAATAACCTTTTTTACTAATAGCTAAAAGTCTAGACCTAGGTTGTGGGGCTTTCCCAAAAGTTTTCTTATATTTATAAATAAAATCTAATTTTAAATTTCGCGCTACCAAAGGGGTATCATCAGTGCTCGCGTGGCGGCGCCAGTCGCAATTCAACTAAACCGTGATATGACATCACGGGTACAAACAACATTCTACGATTAATAATGATGAAGTCATAGTCAATGTTCATAGATGGCGCGTAGTGGTCAAAAAAGAATGATTTAATTAAAAAGGAGTGTTTTAGACTAGAGGCACATATTTGGGACATTTCTTAAAGCTTAATAAAAAAAAAATAGAAAACATTTTTTTCGATCAACTTACTCATCATTTATTTATTCATATTTTGATAATATACAAATAAAAAATTTACAACTAGAAAAATTAAATATTAAAAAAGGTGCAGAACATGCAGGCTATCTCGGGAACTTCCCGCTACACGGAAAGAACAAGATGACACTGGATAACATTCCAGATTATACTCAGTGACATCTGTAATGAAAAGAAATTTCAAATAGTAGCTAATATAATTCAGATTATACTGAGTGATATCTGAATTATACGCATTGTAATCTCCCATTTCCCCCTAGTAAAATCTCACATTATACCGCGTAAGATTCCACTGGATATAATCCGAGATTGTATCCTGTCGAATTTGGATTATACTTTATAGAATCTTGGATTATACCCAGTGATATCTGCGCCATTTTCTTTCTAGTGCCTGCGCGTGAAGTGCTGTTTACAATTTGTGAATTAAAGTCAATCATCAGTATATTGAACATTAAAGAAATATAATCGGTGCATTAATTAGTGTGTGAACATTTTTATTTTGTGCTATGTAACAATATGTTTTATAGCCGTTATATTTATTAAAATTACAAGGTATGTAAAAATAGTGTACAAGACGTATGTATTTATGTTTAGACTTGTTGTCACAAGTCATATTGTCATTAGATCTATGACCTAAAATTTTCAAGAGGGGTTTTTTTTTTTCGAAGATATAAATTTTTGAATTTGGAAAAAAAAATTTTTTTTTTCAAACTTCGGATGATGTTAAGTTGAATATCTAAAGTAGCAGTCATTTGTTGGTGGTTGACAGATAAACATTTTTATGCAATCCCGATATGAAGATAACGGTTGGCTTTCATTTTCGAGCTTCAATTTTCCAAGTTTTACACCATCAAATAAAAGTTTAAAATTTTCGTGAATGAAGCAAACGCATACAGTATACAGCATTTTTTTCCAAATTCAAAAATTTATATCTTCGAAAAAAAACACCCTCTTAAAAATTTCAGGATATTTTAAGATTAGTAAGAGGTACTTTGTAAAAAAAAAATGAGCCAAAAATTCCATAGCGGGCTTTGATTTTTACGATTTTTTAAATTTCATAATTTTCCCACTTTGATTTTTCAAAAATTTTACCCAAAAAAAATTTTTTTTTCATAGTCCTAAGTATCCCCTTTGAAATGAAATTTGGTCCACATCTGTAACTATAATAGTTTTCGAGATATTACAAAATAAATTTAAAAAACCTGAAAATGGTGAAATTTTTAATTTTGGATAACTTTTCGAAAAAAATTTTTTTCATTTTTTTCTTTGGCACAACTTTGTTTTATGATAAAAGCAAACTTGTGACCGAAATTCATCCAAATCGGAAGGGGTCGATTCCAACTATTGGTCGATTTGACATGGAATGACCCATATTCTATTTACATTTTGCATCTTATAATTTAAAATGAAATCGATTGTCAGGAATACAACTTACTTATCAATAAATAGGATAATTTTTAAGAAATATTCAGAGAACATGGAGGAAATCATAAACGATACTCTGGCTAGCATATAAATAAAATTCACTCAAAGAATAAATGTATTGCATACAAGTGATTTTCTAAGTTAAAATATGTCTCAAATCTACGGACAATTAATTACCAATCTATCACTTTGTTCAATCTTAATTCATTAACATCATATGAATTAAATTAATTATTGAAAAACTTATTAAAATCAATGAAATATCCATGCCACTTCTCAATAAGATCACTTACATACCATGAAAATAATTTTGTAGGGAAAAGCTTATATGCTGTATAATTTTTTTTCTAGTGATAAAAAAATGATTATTTATTTGTCATCTAGCAGTAGAATCAGATACTAGAATTTAAGAATGGATATTTGAAAAATGTACATTATAATAAAATATAGTTGTACGAGAAACAGTTCCCAAATGATTTATATAAAATTATAACATAATTTATTAACTTTTAGATACATAAAATAAATACATTTCGTTATTAAAGTCTATAGATACATTCGAAAAAATTTCTTCCTAATTATGATCATTGATTTTTCTTAATACGCGTAGCAATAATCGAATCTTTCTGATCCCATATTTGAGCAGCTTGTTCATAATTTTTCCAATTATTAGCATAAACATTGTTATCATCCAGTGAATCACTCAATTGAATCACTTCACCGACGTGTTCTTGACGACTATCAATCCTGAAATTGAATGACCGATCGCTGTTGTTAACCTTGTCTTCACTATCAGGATACACGTTGATAACAGAAGCGCTAACTTGGTCAATCTGTTGATTATTGGAAGAATCTGAGTGTTGGTCCATCAGATCGGTCATTGACAGCCGATTGTTGAAGCTACGGCCCCAACCACCCCCACCACCACCACCACCACTATAATCATAACCGCCGCCACCTCCGCCGCCACTTGATGGAGGACCGTAACTAGTCGGTGGTGGTGAAAGACCTCCGCCACCCCCGTGACCTCCGCCACCCCCGTGACCTCCGCCACCTCCGTGACCTCCGCCACCACCATAACCTCCGCCTCCTCCTCCTCCACCACCACCAGATGATTTAGTCAAGAGGACGATCTCCTTCAAGGGTGCTTTGGGAGAGACGATAATGATTAATCTAACTGTCTTAAAACTCTTTTAACACTAATAATAAATGTTACTGTTCATCGATGATCATAATTACCTCCTCCTCCGCCGCCTCCGTGACCTCCACCATGACCACCACCAGATGGCCAATAGCTCATCATTTTCATGACTAACATCGCTTTGGTCATCATCATCGACCAACCAGCCATCATGAGTCCTTTCATCATCATTAATCCCATCATTACCACCATCTTCATTTTTAGAGCCATCATCATGCACATCATCATTTGCTTACATCCTTTGCCACCGCCTTTACCACCTTTACCACCACCACCACCACCTTTGCCGCCTCTTCCTGAAATCATAAATGTACGTCCTTTATTCTTTAGAACTCCCCGCTACTTCCGAACTCAAATCACTGGAAAATATATAAATTACTTTATGCTTTAACTCTTCAAGCTAAAAAATCTGAGAATTATTTCTGAACAGTTTTTTCTTTTAATTTTTATACTGCAATATTTTGTGCACGCGTTATTTAATTTTAACTTTATTGGCGACATTTGTGGCGCAGCTTTGTAAGCAAAAAAAAATTTTATGCAAGGTTTTAGGTCGACTAATTAAAGAGTTTGATCGGTACGTTGAAAAAATTTCTAGCACTTTATAAAGAAGAGATCTGTTGAAGAATTGAATTTTCCAAAATCAGACTGAAATGAATAATTTTCGGTTTTCAAAAGGTATTACTTTTCAAAGTGGAAAGTTTAAAAGTAAATATATGTAATATGTAAATAAATGTAATGTTCATATTTTTATAGTTTAACTTAAAATCAAAATCTTGTATACAGCGAAAGAAATTAATTTGAATCAAGAGAAAAATTCGTGAACCAAGAAAATAATTTTGAAGAGTTTTATTGTCTTGACCAGACGAAAAATTTTTAAATCAAGTAAAGTTGCTTAAATGAAGAAAAATTTTTTATTTTTAGAATTTTCTTACTCAAATCAAAAAGACGAAGTTTTTCAAATTTATTTACTTGATTCAAGTACATTTTTTTCTGTGTTGTCAATTGATCATAATTTACAGATCAGTTGTGGAAAATCTCAATTACAATTATGCTAAATAGAAAAATCAGTGACTTAATCTAGATTGAAATGCATAATATCGTTCAAAATTTCAAAATGTCATCTATAATGTCAAAGTTTGAAGCCCAGCTACATTTTAAATTATTACTGAATACTTATTATTTTTTAAGTTTACTACTGCAAAATTATTAAAGATAGCACTAAGATTTGAATCCTGAAGCTGTCAAAAATAGTTTATTATTATTTTGTGCTTATATCCATACCGAATTTTTAATGCCAAAAACTGATGTTTTAAAGGGAATCAAATACGCCAGAACCTGGTTCAAGAACTTTTTGATAAACATCTGTCACGATAAGTCTAAAATATCACCAGACTGATAATTTGATTAAAATAATGATCAACCTTCGATTCTACGAAATCCAAATCATCAAATTCGGAACTTTTGGATCATTTCTGTTTCTAATTTTTGTTTCAATTAATATGTTCTAAAAACTAATATAATGATACACTTATAAAAATTCTCTAGCAATTTTAGGCAACAAATAATCTTCTCCAAAATTATATCAACAGAAAATTACCTTCAACAACACCAGTGTCACCAAAAGTCAGGTCAATCTGATTCTGTTCCTGTTTCTTAAGATTCCATTTAGGGACGGTGATCCTCAGGATAAATTTATCAAAAAAATCATCAATACTCCGATCAATCTGGGTGTTCGTGCCAATAGCCCTGGGATCGATGAACCTCCTCACCTTGGTGTTCCTCACTTTAATGAACTTAACATAGTTACCGATCAGATTGACATATTTGAGCCGACCAATTGCATCAATATACCGTGCTACGCGGTCTCTAACACATGTAATCGATAAATCCAAGATACATTTTCCCAAATCTCTGATTGGAACCATCGGAAAGTGATCATCTTCTTCACCAACTGTCTCATTAACTACTGGCACTACGTTAACGTCCAATCTCACTCCATTTTTTTCGTAGTCAAATATGTGCTTGCCTTCCGGTTTTTCATTTCCAAAGCTACTGTCTTGCTTCGGATTGCGCGTCGGAAGTAATCCATTGTAATCTACGGTCTCCAAATAATTTGCAGACTCAAAATCTTTTTGGATTCCACTAGAATTGTTTTGTCCGAGCACTTTTCCTTGAAAATCGCGAGATTCATTGTAATTGGGCAGCGCGAAATTGGAACTTATCAAACACCCGAAAATTAACAGTTTTAAATGAAATTTTTTACTTCGCGAAGTGATTAGGTAAAGATACTTCATTGTAAGACGTTCAGACAGTCGCTTAGTGTCAACTGGATGCAAATAAACGACTGTCTTTAAATAATCTTAAAACTCGCGGTTTATATACTAGAAAAATTATGTCGCTTGTGGTTTTTATTAATTTTATATTTCTATTGGAGGCTTCAAATTCTTGTCACGATTTTCATCAATTTACAGTAAAGTACTAGTATAATATCGTCACATTATGCCCAAGAAGTGTATTCATTTCCAAAGGAGTAATTGTGTGTATTTCTATTCTATGCTATGGGGAGTTACCACTAAAATGTTATCTACTTAATACTACCTAATCTTCTTAACCTTGATACTTGCATATTAATCATTATTTAGTTTCAATGTAACACAAATATCATTAATTATTTAATATAATCTTAAATATCTTTTGCTTTTCAATTTAGACATTTCAGAAATAATACATATCTTCACGTATATTTTGAAAGTACATGTAGGATGCATATGAGAATGATAAACACCCAATGCTTATATGTGAAGCACATGCGTCAACATATGAATATATATGTTTATATGTAATATAGCATACATGGATCCACATATGAACGATTATGCTCACATGTGAGGCAGATATGAGCATAAGCGTTCATGTCTGATGTTCATATATAAACATTTATTCTAATGTCTGAAGCATATATGTCCACATATGAAAATACGTGTCTATATGTAATACTTTGACTAATAAGATAAAAATATATATGACGTATACATGCATATGTGTGAATGATGTCATCATATGACTGATTCGTGATCACATATGATTATAAACAATTCGAACGTAAGTAACACAGGTACAAATAATGAATTTATTATCTTAAAATATTTAGAAAAAAAAATAAAATACAAAATAAATAACAAATTAAACTTACGAAGTAAAGTATCTACAATAAAATACTCTAAGTTAGCATCAAAGTTCTATGACAGATTGGTTGGAAAATTTAGAAGTATATTTATTTGTTTTTTTTTTTTTCTAAGTCTTGACTAAAAACTACGTCGATTCCGAACGTTTCCATACTTCTGAATACTTTCCTTGACTACAGATTCTGTTAAGTCAATGGACCTTCCGTAGCCCGAGTGCCCATACCCGTGTCCTGCATGGTGTTCTTCGCTGCTGTGAGAGTGCGAATTCGAGTATACCGGTTTTGCAATCACCTCATAAGTAGTCTTTTTCTCCGAACCGCCGGTCAGTGATTTAAGGCCCACAATTGCCGACAACATCAGCGCCATCAGACCGGTCATTAGGGCTTTGCCGGCTAACATCGCGAGGGCTCCGAATCCTAGGGCTCCCAGTGTCCCCTTCATCATCATCAATCCTGCTGTTAATGTTCCCATCCCTTTGTCCTTTTTTCCACGACCTGTTTAATGAATCAGATAAAAATTTTTATCATAAAATCACTACGCATTTGCTAAATTACATAATTTTTTGCTAAAAACTTACCACTCTCTGAGTCTGTCCCAAAATCAGCGATCTCTTTATTGAAGCTCCTCGCAGCTTCCAAAGTCTTAGCGTCAAACAGCTTGATAGAAATTGCGTGGTTATTTAAATACATCCCAATTTTGTGCATTAAAAACACATCTAGCCTTTTTTCGATGTCATTTGGAAAGTCTCTCGCCAGGTTAGCGATCACCTCAGAAGTAGACATACTATCTGAGTTATTTTCCTTGACCACCGAAATCCCGGGAAAGAGTCCCAAGCTTTGAGTTTCCGAAAGCTTGTCTACAAAAGACACGACGTCCAACTTCAAACACGTCATACTGTATGATTTAACGCAATCTTTGCTTATTAGCGTTTCTTTGTCCTTAAAGTCTTTGATCTTCGCATTATTGGGAGCATCCCCGATTAACTGGTGTGAGTTCCAAGGGTCGATTTCACCACAAACGTAATCGACTGTTAAGATCAACATCACCGACAATATTGTTTTCATAGCTTTTATTTAAATTCCACGGTTTTTGTGATAAAATTTGGACCGATTTTTACTACAAAAGAGGTGATTGCACACTGACCAGAATCTGCAGATAGATGGACTATATATACCTAGATGTAACCTAGAGCACCAGGACAAGTACTTTTTCCTTTCGACAATTCATATTACATTCTCCTTCAAGCTAGAGCAGAGCGCACTATCGGACCCGCCTTTTCATAAGTTATTATTATAACTTTTGTTTGTATGCAAGGTGTTTGGTCTTCCTCTCACCGGCTAAAAGAGATGAGACGAAACAGAGATAAAAGAGCCAGACTGTTTTGCCTTTGGGTTATTCGCTATGTCAAATAGAGCGGAGAATAAAAAACTATCGTGAATTTGTGTGAAAAACTCGGAGATGTGTTTGGGTAAGACACTACGTTGGCTCACTACTGTTGAGTTTAAATATGTTTATATTTTGTAAACGCTTTCGTAAAAACTGAAAATGGAAATTGTTTGAGTCGTAAGCTACTATATTTTTAGTAGGGTAAAAGTTATTTGATTTATTTATGTCTATTTTATGAGACATTTATTTTTTGAGCTGGAATTTTATTGATGGACGATATTTTGCTGGAAAAAATTACTGCGATGAAGAACTTGTTTTACGATTGCGTTTTCCAATTTGTTTACAGGCAAGATTTCATGTAAGTTGGTTAGCCAGGGCAGTGTAATTTTTAAAAAAATTTTTTTGGAATTTATTTTTTTTTTTTTGACGGACTATAAGCGAATAGAAGTTCAAATTTTTCATCATGTATTCATTGATATTTTAACAGTAAGCTAAAAAATTTTTCAAGTAAAATCTTCATCGTAATAAGTATCAGATAAATACAAAAGTACCGATGTCTAAAAAAGCAGTCTTTACACGGAAAAAAATCCTTTCAAAATTACGGAAAAACCTGTTAAATTTATAGTTTTACTTCTGACAAGACATCTGGCAAATTTACATTTTTAAATATAAAATTTTCATATTCTGATAACTGTTAACTTGAAAACATCAATTTCACACAGGAAAAATGAAAATTCTACATTTCTACAATGTTAAATTCACAAGGTAAAAATATAAATTTAGAATTAGAAAATTTGTAAATTTTGCATTGGAAAAATGCACTAGATAAAACGGTAAAATAAAAAAATGTATATCTAGCTAAAATTCTCTTATCAAATTTGATGTAAACATTAAAACATTAATATACAGTTTCATACAATGATATAAAATTTTTTTTCCGGACATGTTATTTTTACAGATCCATTTTTGTAAATTTGATGATTTATTTTTGTAAATACGATATTATTAAACAGTGTAGTTTTTACATTTTCATACCTGAAAATTTAATAGCATATTGTAACATAAGATAGCTGTTTAATTTTTGCATAACCCTTTCAGTAATTTTCACTTATAATTCTTTCCATCCATAATTCTGGCTTATTAATTTATCTGAAATCAAAGAAACCAAAAGGCATTTCAATTTATCAAAGCTAAGACTAGAATCATTCTAAAATATTAAAATCTTTTAATTTAACATGCTTTTAAAAGTAAATTTTAAATTTTATGATGATCATTAATTTTTTAAAACATATCATTTTTCCAGTTTCTAATACCCTCAAAATTAAAATCACGCAGACCCTTTCTTTTTTTTTTTTATATCGGCATCTTCAGAGGGGAGTAATACTCATTGTCATGGAAATTGAAGTCGGAAATATTTGTGAAAACAGGAAAATTTGGAAAAAAAAAGTTTTAAAAAATAGGTCGTCTCATAGGATAACCACCTTAATTTGTTGTTCATGGATTGACAAAATCATTAAAAGATACAAGAAAAAAAAAACATTTAAAATTGTCAGTTCTACGTGTGAAAGTCGTAAATAATGTGCAGGACTGCAATCCACTTTAATCAGCGAAACATTATAATCAATAAACATTTTCACTTTAACGTATCATATAATCCTTATTACATGTTATCATCTAATCAATAGCGTGTTATTTGCTCGGACTGAAAAAACAAGTATTAATCTGTTTGCTTTCAAGAAAGTAATAATACCGTTTTAAATTTATTGCCGTTTAGTACGTGCTTACTTTAACTATATATTTCAGTCAAACATTTATAAATTAAAATACAATTTAATGTCCATCAGATGGGTTTTCATTATTGTATCCTACTTAACATATACAAAATAATTACACGAAAGTCCTGCTAAAAATTATATTTTTTGACTAATTATGCAAAAATTTTCTATTTCATATAATTATAAAATGTTTGATAATGAACAGTTGTTTTAAAATTGAGAAGATATAGAATCGGAAAAATAATGACAAGAATTTTTATTATTTTGTGACGTTTCGTGTCTTTATTGACAGTTTTTTAGGCGTTCTATAATAAACAGTAATATATATTGACCAAAATTGATAAATTCTACAATTTATTACCTCAAAAACACCATAATATACACTGTTGATGTCATTTGTTAAATATATTCCTGTCATTCCATATCACTGATTCAACCAATGAGTGGAAAGTTTACTGGTAAATCACTGAACTTTCAAGTTCTTCACTGGTTTAACCAGTGAATTCCGAATTCACTGATTCAACCAGTGGATCTCGATCAGCTGTGCGCGCATGCGCCTAGGTATAGTTATGTTGGTTATGTTACTATATCCGTCGCTACTCTCGTCCGGATAAATAACTCGGTCTTGGTGAGAATGCGCCCATAGCCTCAAACTTGTGACGTTACTTCAAGCCCTCAAAATCCCTTTACGCATATGTATCGGAAATAACTATTTCAAGGTGCTAAAAATATAATTAAAAAGTTAAATTGCGACTTAACCTTTATGATGAGGGAAGTATCAACATATTATCTGTACTAACTTGATGTGTATCAAACTCATCAAAAGATGAAGTAAAAAATGTAACTACATTTCCTAATCCTTCTTTGCTACACATAATTTCTGTAAGTTTGAAGTATTGAATATTTTCGCTGCATATATTCATTTAGATTTTTTAGACGAAACAAATAATAAACGATTATATAAATGTTTTGTGTGAAGGAACCAACATACAAAATTATGTTGATAATTTTAACAGCAAAGCGACCACGAATGTTCAACCATTTATGACTGTAATGAATGGTCAGAAGAATACATATTTTGCACAATTAGATGGACATTTAATTGATTTTACGAAAGATTACAAACCTGCAACGGTTTTTTTTCTACGTCGTACAAACTATTCTATGCGTTTGATTTAAGTTATTAACCCAGTTTGGACAACTTTCACAATTTTATAGATAATTCCGTATTTAATCTAGCGTCTGCCCGCAGTGCCGATTCTTTCTTACATAGTTCCTTAAATAATACAGAAACTGAACAATAGATGGAAGAAGAGTAAGATATCTACTTAAATCGCGTATAATTATTAATTTATTTTATTTTTATAATAATACTTTATTTATGTTACTTTATTTTATGCTATGTGATTGTTTCAACATAATTTAATATTCTGCCTGCTCAGATTATTGTTATTTTGTATAACAGTAGTTAAAACTAAAAATTAAAAAACTGCAATAATTTTTGCATTGTTTTCATAGTTAATGAAATAAAACTTATTTATAACCTTTAATTTGTAATTTCAATCTCTTTATTACCCAGAGTATTTCACTGATGAACCAGTAAAATTTCACTGATTCACTAGTGGAACTCACTAGTTTTAACAATGATTGTGGATGTTTTTCTATTGTACTGGTTTAACCACTGGAATTCACTGGTTGAATCAGTGAATTATCGTCATAGCTGGATTTACAGATTAAATCAATTAAATTTCACTGATTTATTTTAAGAGAGTAGATTTAAAATATTTTTATTGTACTTTGATAACCACCCGGGGAAAACGGTTTAGATCTGACCAGATATAATTATATCTGGTCAGATCTAATTATATCTGGTCAGATCTATTTATATCTGATCAGACATGGGATTGGAGACATAATCAGATCTAGTTATATCTGATCAGATCTAAACAGATATAACTATATCTGAGTTGAAAAATACATCAGACATGAACAGATATAGTCATATCTGATCATATCTAAACAGATATAACTATATCTGGGTTGATAAATACATTAGACATGATCATATCTAGTCATATCTGATCAGATCTAAACAGATATAACTATATCTGAGTGGAAAAATACATCAGACATAATCAGATCTAGTCACATCTGATCAGATCTAAACAGATATAACTATATCTGAGTTGATAAATACATTAGACATGATCAGATCTAGTCATATCTGATCAGATCTAAACAGATATAACTATATCTGGGTTGAAAAAAAAATCAGACATAAAAAGATTTTATTATATCTGGCCAGATATAACTACAATATTTGTTAACTATTAATAAATACATAAACTATTTTACTAAATATACTTTCCTCCCAAATAAATATTTATCGAATGTTAAAAAATATTTATTAGAATTTAATAAATTAAATAATTAAAGCGGCATGATGGCTTTTTTTTTTGAAAATGTAGATTTTTATTTATACTCAAAAGAATACATAAGAAATACTTAAGTCTAAAAATTACATCAAAAAACTTTAACAGTAGGTAAGAATAAATGATGGCTGGCTACGTTTAGTAGATCTCGCCATTTACAAAAAATTAAACTACAATGAGTTATAAAATATTTAGGTATATCAATATTTAATTTAATAACATAAGAGTTAACCAAGATGAATGGAATTGATGTCAAAAATTATGGTATTAAAAAATACATCAACAAACATTATAGGAAGGGAATTAGGACGGGAATTGAGGATGAGACGTGGGTAGGTATGGGTGATATATATTTATATATATACATATTTACAAAGGCATAGCATCTGCCTTAGCATATGTTTATGGCCAGATCTAATCCGTTTTTCCCGGGCAGATCATAGATATACATTATTTATTAATTTTAATAAA